GCAAATTTGTTACCTTTATGACATCATTGCACTGATCAACCAATCACACATGGATTAATTTTAAGCCGTTCATACCTTACTTGCCAGCTGATGTTCTTTCACCATGTGAGAACAATGATTGACAGAGGAATGGGGGGAATAATAATTTAGTGGCGGGAAACATGATGTTAACGTCAAATCTGCATTCATTCTACACCGACGAAGTATTGGCACAATAACCGATCGCTCAGACTGACCACCTCCATGCAACTTGGTTCACAATAGCGATATTTGTTTTTCATGGTTATGCATAAGGAATACGGGAAAGATGTGAAGGAGATGATGATGAGAGAATACGCTAGGCGGTTTCGTATCGTATTCATCGGCGTACAGCCTCCCACTATTCATTCATAATGTAACGAAAACGACACGACAGGGGGGTAGATGTTTATTGCACACCGAAAATGGGCACACCCGGGTCTCACGCGCGCCATCGAATATCGACTAGATTTCCGTCCCACAACGCAACACAGGTACGAATGTTAGAGACGAGCCAGTCCTTTCGCCTCGGGAGCTCTGACTTGGAAGACCCGCCTTCCTGTTTTCGCCTCGATCTCCACTTCTCTGTACCCGATTTGGATCGGCCAGGAGTCGTTCGAGAGCTCTCAACTTGCTTGTTCTTGGCTATGTCAATCGGCTCGGCCTCGGTCTTGTGGGCTGCGCTAGCGGCGTATATGTCTGATTTATTGCGCTGTCCACATATTCCCGCTCCGTAGTTCCGGGCCCAGGCTCGTCGCTAGTCGTCCTTCTCGATCCGCTCTCAGCTAGCTCCGAAGAGCTCCCCCGAGGCATTCTTGGAAGCGGTCCCTCTACAATAACACTGACCTGAGAAACCGTCAGCTTAAGTTTGGCAACGCAGTATACCTCGCTATAATACTGCAGTAACATCCTCTCCCTGTGACTGGGCTGGCTGTAAAATGTCCTTCACAAAATCCCGTAAGTAATACCAATTCGCCCTTACGAATTCCACAAAATGCTATGTCGACTCATAGCTGCCGTAACCGGGAAGTCCTGACGCCGGAAGGCCAACCGCTGTCATCTGCATGGCAGGTGCCTGCATAGCAGTGGAGGATGGGTCGGGCTATATCGCATTTAGCTAACAATTCGTGATGGTCAGATACCGTCCTCCATGGCGCAGTTGCATAAGCTGCGGGCTAGTTGGCAAGAGCCACTAGCAGTCATGTGTTCGATCCTCCGCAGAGGACCGAAGGATGCGCACCACTGATGATCCCCGATAGGGCGAAACGGCCGTCTGGTGCTTTTCCGGATAGCTAGTTGACATATCTGAATTGTCGGCTGATTGCGACGAACCAGGTCAGTATACTGTTTGCCGGTTGTTCAATCGGACTCCGAGAGTCTGAAACCACCATGAATGGTAAAAACGAAATGATAGGTTTCTTAATCTGGGGAATATCGAATCAAGGAAGCATAACAACGTTTTCCACGAGCCTGCTCAGGTGGAACTTCACAATTGAGCGTACTTAGACAGATAAGCACCGCTGCTGATGATGTCCGTTGAAGTCCGCGGAACCAACAACCAGACTACGGCCGCCGGTAAATCTGTGAGCAACCTCTCTGTCTGTTCCGATGCGCTAGAACCTGCGGTAAGGAGCGGCACCTGAAAGCGAACATCAGTAAAGTTACAAGGCCGAAAGCGAACGGAACAACAGGGCTTCATGTCACAGAGCTGACATGCTTGCAATGTTAGCATGTATACATTAAGCCGTAATGAAGCCATAACGGCTGAAGCGGTGTCAAAGTCGCCAAAGAGAATCTGTAATGGAAGTACATGACCTTGGCTTGCAACAAGCGCCTAATGCAGCCTACTGAGCCATAAAGATTTAGTCCGCTGCCGTTAACTTTACGATAAGGATCAACAGTGACAACAGCACCCTCTCGGACAATTGATCGATCGCGCGTTTCTCACGTCAACGGTCAATGGTATATTGCGGATAAAAAAGCCTAACTTTGACATGTCCCACCGGATCGTCGGTCAGAGGTGAGCATAATAAAGGCAAAAGTGCCCATAGAAAGAGTGAGCAACTTCAAATTGCGAACTTGCTGTTTACAGGGTTCCCGTCCGTTTTATGTATTATCCAAGGTTATTGTCTGTGGTCTCCGTGTAAAAATCTGTGTGAGTTGGTTTGTTTTTGATTTTCTGCTGTTTGTTTGGGCCGTTTGGATTACGTGATATGGTGTAGTGTGTCCAGCGCACTGTCGACACGTGCTTTGAACACGGCTAACGTGGGGGTTGCAATAACAGCTTTGAGTGGGTGTTCCAAGTGTAGCAAACACGCAGCGAGAAGAAGTTTCTTCGACACTCCAACCGACTGTATTGTTCTGCCAACTTGAGATGATGACCGCTCAGTTGGATGCTGTGACTCAGCTTCAATAGGTGATGGCAGGGGTGATTGGTATTGTTTAATATTCAGTAAACCATGATTACGTCGCCACTCAAACGGCGATAACGTACGCTGTAAATACCAATCACATTGTGACGCTGTTCGTATGACAAGTGACGCAACCCCATGAAGGTTTTGGTCGTTCGAGGTTGTGAAAGTTCTAAAACCGTGAGATCCCGCTTTAGCCAGCGCTGCCATGGTTTAATTGCATATCCAACATGTGGGCGTATATAAGCGGGCAGTATATGGAGAAAAATCGACGGTTCGAACTGCCCGAAAGCTCACCGTAAAGGCTACCCTTCTTCGATGCCTTCTCGGAATGCTCCGAGCAGCCGAGATCCTCCTGAACCACCACACCAAGATCCCTTTCGAGAAATCAATGTTGCAGATCTTGGTCCTCTAGATAATAAGTGTGAACCACTCGGTGTCTTAAATGGAGCACTCGACATTTAGCCACATTGAACAAAAGGCGATTTTTGACCGACCATCCATAAATCTTGTCAAAGTCAGTTTGAAGTTGGATACGGTCTTCTGGAGCTCTGATCACTAGTCAAACTTTGATGTAGACCTAGATTAAACAGTTTGACGCAATTTGGCTCTCTAGATCGTTTATGAAAACCAAACATAGACGGGGCCTCAGTACGGAACACTGTGACACTCCGCACTAGACATGAATTGGATCTGATATGGATTCACGTACTCTCACCTCCAGACGCCTGTGCGAGAGAAAATTGCAAATCCAAAAGAGGAATGGGTCTCCAGTACCACATTCTTGATGTTTGGAGAGAAAGATCAAATGGTCCAACCGGTGGAGTGCTTTAAAGAAATCAAAGTAAGCATATTGTTGTTGCAGAACATTCGACAGTTCTTTAGCAGTCCAAGTTAGACTATCCACTGTTTGAAGAGGGGGAAATCCACTTTTCTCCTTGCAGAGGCTGTTTACGTGCTTGTACATTAGCTTAGGGTTTGGAGATAATCGCTTGGCTAAAGAATGTTGATAAATTACTTTGTCCTCGCGCACTAATTAGGTACAGTGGTTGCGGTGGACAACACATGCCTTCCAGCTACTCGGACTCGGATCGGCTTTGTGGGTATAACACTCCGCATTGCACATCAACAAGCGTTTGCGTGTCCTACTCCGTATAAACGACGTCATGCTTCTCGAACTGATAGTCTTGGTTTCTGATGCTCGACTAACGAGGGTGTTAAAGTTACTGACGAAACGTTCCCAGGCGATATCGGGCGCATCCTCGGTTAGAATACTCCAGCCGGTCGTTGCGGCAAGTCGGGTTGAGGTGTCGTAACTATTTACGGTTCGCGTTGTTTGATTTCGGTACTCGGGATATTCAGCATAGTAAGTGTACATGAAATGCAAATTCGCATGATCACTACCTCCTAGAGGAGTATTGGTTATCACCCTTTCAGTTCTACAATAGTGAATATTCGGTCCAACATGGATGGCCAGTTATTTCCTCTGAATCTCGTGGGCGAGGTGACATGTCCGTAAAGCGGAAAATCTGAGACAAGATGATGCAGGTAAGTTTTGAACTGCTCTCCTGGTGTGGCCTGGGATTCTAGAACAAGTACTTTGAAATGGCCGGCAACTAGAACTTGATTGTATTTCCTGTTTATCACCTGCCTCAATACAGCCAACAATTTGTAGTCCATCTTAGGTGTAGACAACGGTGGTTGATAAACCACAATCACTAGTCCAAGATCGTTCCCACTCAACAGGAAGCTGCACCGAATGGAGTCAGGTTAATCGGTTTCGAATCGTGTATGGGTTTGCATTGCAGGTTGTTACGAAAGTAATGGACGCCCCCCCACCACTGTTGGGTTGACCATTCCGGACAACAGATATACCTGTTATCGCGGTTTCGGCATCCGTTATCTCACAGCGCAACCATGTTTCCATGATAGTGATGAGATCCCAAGCTGTTGACGCATGTCTAAAGTCTTAATTCATACAATTTGCTGAATAGACCTTGAGCATTTGTGTACATGCATAAGAGAGTCTCGGAGACTAAAAGTGTGTTGGGTGGAATAGGTGAAGAAAGTGGGTTTACTCCGACCGATGTAAGGTCGGCGACTAATCATTTTTGGATAGGTTGCAGATTGTGGAGACGAATTTGGTATATATTCAAGTATCAGATGCCCCGGATCCCGGTGTTCGCTGGTGCTCTGCTGTGTCCCTCCGGGTGTTATAGCTATCGTTGAAACCGTCACCGAGTCGTGTCCTACAGTTGGTGTTTTCATTGAGAGTTGCGCCTCCGCTGAGTTGTCATTAGAAGGTCGTGGTGGTCCTGCTGATTCAGACGAATTTCTGTTGGCAACCTGCTACAGAATTTAGTCCAGTTCTCTAGAAGAGTTTGCGCCGTTAGTTCTGATTGCAACACCAGTTTCAATAGCTTGGGACCGCGCCCCTTATAGTCCTCGTAGCGTTCATTCTACCTCGACGAAGTATTGGCCCTATTACCCATCGCAACAATGTGCCAATGAAATCCGGCGTTATGCATTATACATAAATTTATATGAAGTATGTTTCAAGAGCATGAAAATCGACGAAGTAGATGTTCAAAATGACCACCGTCGTTTCTCTTGTAGAGCAGTGTTCGTCGGGGTTTCCAATCCGTTGACCGTGCGAGCCAATCCATAGGTCCTCCACAATGAGTAGCAAAAGTTTCGTTAAGATAATCACGTACCGTTGGTGCATAATGAGCAGGCGCACCATCCTGCTGACACCAAAGGGTATTCAATAAGTCTTCGGCCAGCAGCTGTGTAATGACACAAAAATGCAACAGTCCTTTTAAGAGGATGACAACAAATGTGCAGCATTAGTTCTGTGAAAAACAAGTTACCCGTCACATACTTGGAAAAGAAAAATAGTCCGATAATTTTTCGGTCTGTCAACCCTGCACGTGCCAGAAACTGTGAACCATGTTACACACACGAAGCAATGCATTGTCGTGAGTTATTGATTACCCAAACATGCCACTTATCGGCGCCATGCAGACGGAAAAGTGCCTTATCCGTAAACATGATTGAGTGCACGTCCATGATATCCAGATACTATTGGGGAACTACCAGACGCTTCTCTAAATCGCATGGGTTCAGAAGTTTTAGCTACAGTGCACGATACCTACGGCATTTCCCTTCCTTCAATATAGAATGCACGGAAGATCGTGTGGTGGAACAATGTTGGGTAATTCTCAGAATGGTTAGATCACCATTATGGCTTACCTCATCTACAACAGCGCAGGCAGACACGTCATCCGTGGCTATATGAGGCCGCCCGGTTCGTTTTGCGTCGCACACGCTCCCAGTTTTATCAGATTTCTTAACCAGTGGACGTACGTACCGTACATTAAGCGGTCTCGTGGTGTATTTGGTAGCGTCGTAGCGGCGAGCCGTTTCGGCCGCATTCGATTGACACTCAACAAAGAGTCGCATAAGGATCACGTGCAGGCGCGCAGGTACCATAAGAGACTGCGCTTGAACAGGGTGCTCATTCTCCACTGCTAACACAGCGAAATGAGCGCGATGGCTGTGGGTAGCTTCATTAACCTTCGTCATACCCATCGATCGTGCTAAAACCAATCAGCGAGGCGAATTCGTTCGTAAGTGACCTCAGGGCCGGTTGTTCTGTCTGCTCATCCAGCGTTGCTCGGTGAACTTGCCCTGTGGTGTGCCGTAGCTTTACTCAAATTCAACAACCCGCGCCCATCCAATGTTTTCAAGATGGACGAGCCTTGCAAGTACACCTGTACCCAGGTGCAGGCATAAGGCCATCACCTTGGTCGTTCAAAACTATGTGTCCGGGTGAGGGACATTTTGAGAGAGACCAACATCTGATTTCGGACAGCTAACCATTTAGTGCGCTCTCATCCAAAGGCGTGACCCTTGCTCCCCGTGTAACAGAGTAAAACGTGACAATAACTCTGTGACTAAATGTAGAGCTTGAATAGGGTCGAGAGTATTGATAGAGAGAGATCGCACGACAGGTTGATGCATGCTCAGTGTCTGGTTATTTGCATTAATGGCCAATGGCTCACCAGTGAGTAGTTGGCCTGCACAATGGCTCAACTTGATATGGACAAATTTTGGGATCGAGGGGCGGAAGCACCGTGTGGGTCGGACTTCCGTATACGACAGGTGTGATATATAAAACCATGGCTTGATTACCTCATGGCAGTAGTAGTCTATAAGTAATGAAGTACAGAAAGTTATAATGATCACTGTTTGGTAGTGTTACAAGGACGCCAGGTTAGGTACAGAAATACAGCATGGTGTAAATGTATGAGGGTTTCATTTATGCGCTCTGTGAATGCTGTTAGTATGAGAGAAAGAAACAACGTAAGTATGTAGGGCTTTTTAAGGTTGGCACACACGAAGTGAAGAGAAATTACAGAGGCATTCCACCCGGCTATACTGCGATGTCATTTTAACTGAGGAATTATCGGTGTGGCACTGTGATTTGGTTTCAGAAGGGGACGACAAACATAGTTTATATTCAACAGGGTCTGATGAGTCATTATCCGATCGTTACTCAGGCGTCGATATTACCCACTGTAGACCCCAAAGGTTCTCTTCCTCCGTTGGTAAGGCAGATGAAGCAAAACCTTTATATTTTTGGTCGCTTCGTTGTGGCATTACAACTGAAGCAAGGTTGTCCATGTGCTAGGACTTCCAGTATTAGGGTTAGAACTAAAACCTAACCCGAATAAGATCCAGGGGTTTGAATAGTCGAAGCCAGATTGTGCCACAGAAGTGTGTTCGAACTTGTACTTGCAACCAGAACACGGAACCAAGCGTGTTACAATTTGTGTGCACCAAATGACTACATGTGAATTACACAGAGTTGGCATGTTTTTCGCCAAAAACCGGAACAGTGTGCTTGTTTTATGCAACAGAACATTGTTATTGTCCCTTAGCTCACACAACATGCAACACTTGTGAAAAAACACCTCCTATAAAATTGCACATGTTTCGACTATTTCAGACACGCTTAGTTTGTGCTATTGTCATTTTTGGCACTTGGGGTTGTGTGTACTCAATACACATACTACTCGCCAGTATCGCGTGTTCTCTCGATACCTTGGCCTCTCACTCAGGAGTCGGTGTGAACCATCGCGATTAAGTCTATCTGGTGCGACCACATCACCCAGACATAGATGGCGCAATCGGAATGGGTCTAATGTGAACATTGCACATTTAAGAAAATATGGAGGGAGCAAATCGGCCCAATGCCCTCCGCAATAGGCCAAGGTGTTGACTGGCCTTTTGTATGCTTTTTCGGCCTGAAGTCAACAGCCAAAGTCGTCTTGAACCTTCATTCCTAGGGCCACTCGGTAGAAGTACAGTAAATCGGGACATATCAGGCTGTACTAGCAAGACGATTGACGATGCATGTTCAGTGCCCTACTCTTGATTGATTTAAAATGAAGCAGCTTCGGAGTCGCCCATACTCTGTCATGGTCATTGTGAAGTGCTACGTGTTCACTCATTGTTTTGCTCAGCCGCCACATGTTAAACTCATCTGTGAAGCGTTAGCAAGTGGAGATGATCATTATGGCGATATGGTTCATGTAAATCAGGTATGGGCTTTGACCAAGCACGAAGCACTGGAATTTCGCGTTGAACGTGGCTAGAGTCAGAGATGGCGCTGTAGACTTTCACATTCATATACCATTGTAGTAAGAACGTACCTATCCAACCAAAGATCAAATCACCAATTCCAAGGAGCTAAAGCTCGTGAAGGAGGATACGGTGGTTTAGACCGTTGAACGCCTTTAAGAAGTCCAGATAAACTTCACTAACTCCCACACCACTATCGACGATGTTAGCAGCAGGCAGAAGTGATCCTAGACTGGCGATTTTCCTCGCTGGATCGTCGAAGTCTAAGTACATTGCAAACTAACTTGGATAATTCTCAACCCAGTGCAGAGCGTGATTTTGCCAGTATGTTACTTTTCTAGCTTTTGTAATGTGTAATGTGTAATATCTTATCCCTTGTATTGCGGCACATTGGCTGAGGTGTGTTGCTCAACCTCAGCAAAAGGGCATTGCTGAGGATGACGCGCTTGGGCAATTACTGGCTTTTACAGAGTAATGAAAGAACGGATCTGGACTAACTCTTGTGAGATGCAACCGACTGATGAGTTCCAACCAGCCCCCAAATTCGAATTCCTGTGCTGATAACGCCCGCGACAGTAGGCAAACATCCATTCCTTTGGCACCTTTCCAGGTTCATGCCACTCAGAACGGGAAAAATGCTAGCGAATGGCAACCGTCGTCCTGTCTAGTTAAGGTGCGTGAGCTCACATAGGCAAACCGAGTGACATGCAGGGCTCCCAAGCGCGGCTTTCTAACAATTTGTGAAATGTCCACAAGATTTAACCTATATTTGGGTAGAAAAACCGATACAGGCTTCAGAAACACAATTCCGTCTCATTCGATCCGTAGTTACAAGCCGCTTTCCGGACACTTACAAGCCCAGATGCATACTCCAGTCAATCCAGTGCAGTTAACCACTCTAAACTCAATGCACCCCCACTTAGCAGTCTTCTACGAGATGGAACAACACGCCTGCCTGACGGATGTACATTGCAGCGCACCGATTGCCGCAAGGCAACTTGGAATGAGCAGTAACTTCACTTTTCCTGTTTCCCCCGGTTGCATACAAACGCGGTCTAGTGAAAATGCTGTTCTACAGGGTCAGACGAATTTGTAGTCCGGAATCGCTGAAAGCTGAAGAGAAGTTTCTGCATAGAACCATTGTGTCAAATGGTTATCCTGAAAAGTTCGTCCAACGGCAAAGCAAGCTACCCAAAAAGAAAATGCCGGTGCTAATGGCATCGAAAAAGGTCGTTTATATGGTTCTGCCCTTCAAGGGAGGTTAGGTGGCAAATGACATCGAACACAAGCCCAGATCGGCCCTAACGCGTACGTACACGACTGCCCGGTTGCGCTTAATGCACGCTAGTGGGAAACTTGCTCTTCATGACGGTCAGAGCTACTCTTCGGCTAGTTAGGCCACTACATGCGGTTTATCAGTTCATCTGCAGTTGCAGTGACGTTTACACAGACAGGACTAACTGTCGGTTGGCTCAGAAGGTGGCTGAACATTTGTCAAAGTGGGTGGAACAAAGGATGACGCAACCAACCGGAGCGCCCCCAGAATGAACCGGATGTCGTCATCATCTATCACCAAGCACGTCGTGACAACTGGTCACAATGTGGACCCGAAGACGGCGTTCAAAGTGCTATTGAGCAACCGGAACACGAAACTGTTGGCAATCAGTGAAACGTCCCTAATTAGAGCCTAGCAACCTGTGCTAAGTGCACAGAAAACCTTGAAGTAATCAATTAGATTACTTTGGTCTTGATTTTGACGTTTTTATTGGTGTGCCAATTTTGTCCCATGTATATAAGAAGGTATGTGTTTCTGTTTGTTTTGTGAATGTGATTGCGGAGAACAATCGAAAAGTTGATATATCACAATACATGTCTTCTCTCTACTTTGATCCAGGAATACATTGAACCTTTTGCCACAACAGATGTCCGCATCAGAAGTTTTCCTTGCGGCCTTCAATGACACAAGCACGTGGAGCTGAAACCATCGGTACGAACGTAAGAATTGTGCTAAAGCCGTGTCCACTAATTCGATGAGGAAGTTTGCCCCTCAACTGCTAGATGGATGAAGAAACTTGAATTAATACCCTTACCAATTACGCCCACACATCACACACAGCTCATAGGAAGTTAGGTAAAAATACTTAATTGGATATACCGTATTGTGCGTTTGTCAAGCTTACAGGGGACATCACCAATGTTCGGAAACCTGGAAAAGACGGTAGCACAAAAACCTACAGCATCTTCACTGTCGACCATGACCAACCTACTTTTGCGGTGGTTAAAGTCCTGTGAAAAATCCACTAAAAAGAGGTAATGTAGGAGATGCATGGTTTGCCAAAAAGCACATGGTGAAACCCGATAAGAATCGACCGTTGTCCATCACTGTTTCTCTTCCCCTTGGAAAGCTTGATTATTGTCCCAGACCTAGCGAACATAAACAGCATTCGATTTACTTCCAGACAGATCAAGTTCCCACTAACCGTTGAATAAAATTTGGATGTCAATTGTCTTGGCACCATGCCAACTTCCTTTAATGTTTCCTTCCAGCGCTGTCAATTGAGTGTCATAATGCGTTTCACATTATAATGATGTATCTCCCAACGTGTAATTTGCCCTCAAATGTAGAAAAAGAAGGTTAACCGGTTGAATGTGATTGTTCACTCCAATTATCTCGCTTTCCGGTCCACATGTCTCGCTCTGTTTTCATGACAGCGTCTGGCTAGGCTCCTGGAAAATGCACACTTTCAGAGATTCAAATACTCCACGCTATTTGAATGGGTGTATACGCAGTAAATGCGGTGATAAAATATATACATCATCCGGGTGTTTGGTGGGTTGCACATTTCGCACAATAACGCCACATGCGACATTGTAACT